GGGAATTTGGAAATTTGGGAATTTGGGAATTTGGGAATTTGAGAATTGGGGAATTGGGGAATTTGGGAATTTGGGAATTTGGAAATTTGGGAATTTGGGAATTTGGGAATTTGGGAATTTGGGAATTTGGGAATTTGGGAATTTGGGAATTTGGGATTTTGGAACATTGGGTGTTTGGAAGTTTACAATTTTGGGATTGCAGGACTTCAGAATTTGAACTTCAGAAGCTTTGATAATTTAGTACTTTAGTAGTTTAGAATTTGGAATTATAGACTTTCGGACCTTGAGATTTCCCAATTTTTCTATTTCAAAATATCGAATCTTCGGGATTATAAAGATATTTCATCAAAATTGAATGAGTGGCGAAAATCCTCAAAAGTACATGAAAGCTATATAAAGAAAATGAAGTAAGGCATTATATCCCTAAAAAAAGGATCAGAATTTTACTCTGTGACCTAGATGTCCTGTCTAGATGTCCTATCGATATCGCGTGTCCGTCTACAAAGTAAAAGATTCCAGCACACAACAATCAACCCTCTTCTGAAACTCAACAGCGAAGCAGTTAACCATCGAATTATTTCTGATGCGAATCGACATTATTGCGACATAAGTGGCAGATAAGATGGCGCAAGTTCGTCTCGGTTCGGCAAGGATTTATCTGGATTAATATTACGCGTTTCTTACATCACATTTTACGCTTCTTATTACATGCACATCGCAAATTTCAGGCCACGATCTTATCGTCTGCCAGGGCAAAAGATAGAAAAAAAGAAAGACACGCTGGAAAGCGTGTCTCGTGGCGTAGTTTGAAGATTTTTCGAAGAATTTCGATTCAGCACTTTACTAATCTTGTTACATATCGACCGCGTCATTGAGGATGTAACGCGTAACTATCGTACGTTACTGTTCGATCATTAATCGATTTCATTATATTAAACTTTCGAGAAACATCTTTTATAGAAATTATAAACTTTGCAAGTTGGAACTTTTTTGATGATATTGATTTTTAAAATGGTAGGTCATGGAATTTAGATGTTTACAAATATTCATATTGTTAAATTTTCAAACTTTCACATTGATAAATTTTCAAACATTTCAATATTGGGAAATGTAAAAGTTTTCGGAATAATCTTAAATTCAGAAATTCGACAAAAATGCAGATGTTGAAAAATTCATATATTTTTAGTAAGTTTAAATTCTTAAACTCAGGAATTCAGAAATTTTTACGTTTTTAAGCTTTCAATCATTGCAATGACTCTTTTCTATATTCCCAATTGTAACGTCTATCACTCATCCAATATCGTTTACTTCTACCAATAATAATAATAAAATAAATTACATACCCAACAACAGGATAAGCCTTATTTCCCTTATACCCGAACTTCCCGGATAGTTGGAATAGTTTTTGAAGATTCTTAGCATTCAAGTCGAAGATTGACCTCTCCGTCCGACCCCTTGAATTAAAAATATACAGTAGGTTAATTACAAACAATTTCCACAAGATTTATTTTGATAATCAAAGTTTGATTTGTACTTACGATTTGGCTGAGTCCAAATGTCGTCCTCCCCTTATTACGTTGTTCAATTTTTCCGTCATTTTTGAAAGCGCCATCAGGGTCTCTAGTTCGGCTCGCCTTTGATCCGATAATCGTTTGTACCGCCTTCGTGAGAAAAACTTTGTTAAAAAAGTGTACATTTCTAGTAATAACTCCTTTTTCTAACAAGATATCTTATCGGAGGCTTGTAATTGACTAATTCTGAGCATGTAAATTTATTTTGGCAACAATGCTCTTAGGAAACTTTAGCTATTTAAGAGTTTCTGTTGTGGGCGATATTTTGTAATACGTTTCGAGGGTACAGATTTAGCGACTGATCAAATTGTAAAAAAATGTAGTTTGAAGTAATTAACATTCACTGTTTTTCATTTTGTGACTTTTTGCGACTCTTTTGTTAGGGTTAATAAAATATCAATTTGCTGTTTACACTTTTATTTATTTGTTTTAATTTAATTTTTTAGACACAATGGGAAAGGATGTATTTGAATTACAATTGTCCTCATTACTAACGAAATTAATTTGGAAAAAGTATGATTACTCACTGTTTAACAGTGCCCAATAATTCTTCGTTCAGCTCTTCCGCCACATTACCCTTTTTCAATTTAGCGAAATTTAAGACGGCATCGTGTGTGATTGCATTCTCGTGCCTGAGCCTATCACACAAAAAATAGTCAATTTAATCAATGATTAATCGATTCATCAGTCTAACAATTTTTTGGTTTTAAAATTTGAGATTTGAGAAACCTCTAATTCAGAAATTAGAATTTTATGCATACAAATTTGTGAAAAATAAAAATCGACAGTTAATAAATCAACAGGACAGTTAATAGACCAACAAAATTAACATTTATTATCTGCTAAAAACTCGACTGCACACGATGTATGTCTCCAAAAATATTTCAAGCTGTACACGTTCTTGTAACACTTCCAGATCTTTGGTACTCATTAGTTTCAAAATATGCAGAACAAAAGAATAATTCCATAAAGAAAATAAAACACAGAAATCGTGTTGATCAATCTCAAAAACAAAGAAACCGAAGAAATAAGGTCTACAACTTACCTTTCTAAGGTAGGTCGCGCAGACGCCAACTCAGGCAAGCAAAACAAAGCGAGGATGATCGCGATGGCGATACAGAATCTCTCGGAAGTGTTTCTCTTCGTAATATCGTACATTTTTGTATCAAAACAAAACAAACGACTGGACCGAAAAAGAAGAAAAAAGAACTTTGCAAATAAAATTCGCGTCAACTTGTCACGTAATTGTCTTTCTCGAGTTCGATCAATGAAATCACTGGTCGACCAAGCTGGTCTCGTTCTACTCGAAACTGTTGCGTTACGAGGCTTCGGTTCGCGTATATATTCGTCGGTTGATGAAGCTTACCCCCTCCCAAGTGTCATCGCTTGAAAAGACATTGACGCTGTCTGTACACCCCCTTCGTCTTATCGCCACGATTATACGATTGTATGTATACATCGCGTACACGATGAATTACGCTCTAATCGTGATTAATTTCCTGAAATTACCGACATAGATATACACTAGTCGTTTATCTGGCGTGTCACGTGAGTTGAAAACAATGCTCTGAACCGGTTGAACTCTTCTTTCTTTTCTTGCACTCTCGATAATTAGTGAGCTAAAACAAGGGAAGGACGCAATTTGACATTAATTTAACAATTGAATGTTTTTAGTTCCGATATGATATTCCGCGTTGTTGTTGCACTTTTATCGAGACGAGTGTTTATTGAAACATATTCGATTTTAGGTGGGCGGAGTAGATTGACCAATTTTCTTTTACTTCCAGGTTTACCATATGATTTAAATAATTTTTAAGTTGGTAGCTGTACTCTGTAAATTTCCTATCTTACTGTACAGTTTTTTATGGGTTTAACGCACATGTACGTTTGTTATCGTTTATTGTATTTATCATATTTATTGTGTTTTTTTATAATGTTTATAACGTTCATCGCACGCATCATACTCAGCACACAGATCATATCCAATATGTTCATTGTATTCATTAGAATCACTATATTCATCATATCAATCACATTTATCACATTCATCATGTTCATCATATTCACCATATTCATCATATTAATCATATTCATCATATTCATTATGTTCATCATGTTCATCATGTTCATCATGTTCATCATGTTCATCATGTTCATCATATTCATTATGTTCATCATGTTTATCCTACAATAGTACAGTATTGGTTGATTCTACGTATATTAATTGATTTAGTTAATTAATTAATTAAATGTATAATAATGTCTATAAATAGAAATAGTAGATTTCGGGGCGAGCATCTCGGCACGTAGGCACATATCATAACGGAAATTTCTTATACAAAACTATACATTTATTAGAATTAAAATAAAAT